AGAGAGAAAAATAGACTTGGAAAGTTTTTCCCACTCTCTCCAGGTGGGTTTTAGTCTTCTCTCATCTCTTCAGGCCAGAACTAGAGTTTCTCCTGGATTTCTCTGTGTGAGTACCACAGTGCTACGTTCAGGGGTTCAGGCCAAGGGATGCAAGAAGGAAAAAATGTAAACTCACTGCCTGTGCAGTGGTCTTTGCGTCCTGTGTTCTTTCCCGAGCCAACCTGCTGATACTTACTTTTCAGACTGCAGCTATCTCCAGCATACATGCTGTGCAGGTTTATAGTTGTATTTGGTGGGAGAGTAAGGTTGGTATGTGCTTACTACTCTTTACTGAGGTCTAGAACATCCCAGGGGTGGGCTTTTATACCTTTTATTAGTCACTGGCTATAGCTGCTTGATGACTCCTATAGGGAGCGAGTTACTTGCTGGGCATTTCTTGGTAAGGGAGTGTTCAATCAGCTGAAGGCCGTTTTCCAAAGAAGAGTACATCTTTGACAAGTTAGCAGCCAGCACTCACAGCAGCTGGGGCATCTGTAAAGCTCAGGTCAGCTAAGGGTATCTGAGCAGGGCACGAACAGCATCTACTGTGTTATAATACTGTTTCCTTACGTGCTTTGACTTACATGCCTTGAGAATCTTTTCCTAAGTTGGACTCACCTGCTTCGTTCTTTTTATCTGTGAACTACACTATTTCATTGTATGGCTGTACCATGTTATTTAAGCAGTTTCATATTGGATTTCTCCTTCTTTTCTTTTCTCTTTCCACCACTCCCCTCTACTTCCTTCCAATTCCCCCCTCTCCAACTCACCCCTGCCCTTCCTTCTTTCCCCTCCCTCTTTCCTTTCTCTTTCCCTTTTTTAACAAATAAATAGTATGCATGTTGCTATTTGACTGAAGTATTGTGCTGTACACTAGAAACTGACATAACATTGTAAAATGACTGTTCAATAAAATATATTTAAAAAATAAATATTTGTAGGAAGTGTGAAAAAAACCCATGTATTTACTGGGCCAAAGGTAGTATACATTTAAACTTTTGGTAAATATTGCCAAATTGCCCTCTAAAATGCTTGTCAGTTGACATTCACTAACAGTCTGTGAGAGTGTCTGCTTCTCCATTACCTCCAAGGAAATACAGTTAAACATTGTACAATTCTTCTAAGTGCGGTTGACACTTGAACGATATGGGGGTTAGGGATGCTGACACTGTGCACAGTTGAAAATCTTCGTATAACTTTTGAATCCCCCAAAACTTTACTACTAAACCCTTCTGTTGACCAGAAGTCTTATCGATAAGTCAACTAACACTTATTTTGTATGTTACAGGTATTATATACTGTATTCTTGCAATAAAGTAAGCTAGAGAGAAGAAAACAGTAGTAGTGATAATAATAATTATAATTATAATAATAGGAATAGCGGCTACCATTTGTCCTGTGCTTACCTAAGGTCAGGCACTGTCTAAATGAATTACTGTTTTTAATCCTCTCATAAGCTACATGAAGGTGGTGACTGTCTCTTTTATTCACTGCAATGTTTCCAGTACATCTAGGAGTGCCTGTCACATAAGAACGCCTCAGTAAGTATTTGTTAAATGAAGGGTAGTGAAGCATATGTGATTCTTATGCCATTTCAGCAATGAGGAATGAATCTTAGAGTGATTAAAGCAAATTGTCCAGGCTAAACTTCCGGTAATGGAACTGAAACTCAAACCCTGGTGGGATGTGGGATAATTGTCATTTTGACAGTGGAGTAACCTAACTGCAGCCAGGCATGGGTAGTAATGCAATATTGATTACTGTCGCTTTAGGTTGGGTTGACTTATTTTTTCTTAAAAGGACCAGATGTTGACTGTTTTAGACTTTGCATGCCAGATGCTCTCTGTTGCAGCTGCTCAGCTCTGCCGTTGTAGCATGAAAGCATCCATAGACAATATGGAAATGAGTAGGTGTGGCTGTGTTCCAGTAAGTCTGTGTTTGCAAAAACAGGTGGCAGGCCAGATCTGGTCCAGGGAACTCTAGTTTCTCTAGTTTGCTTTAGGTGATCTCTTGCGTCCAATGTCACAGTAATCACACATGCAGATGTGGGCTTTGAAGTGGCTTTGGCAGTCCTTGTTGCTTGGTGGTCATCCAGATGATCCACAATATGTTTATAGTAATTTTTTTCAAGATTAATCTGGAAATAAAGACAAAATTTAGAAAACTACCGTGAAGAACTTAGGGATCTCCAGGAATTCTTAGATCTTACTTTCAGAAAAAAAGTGATATAAAGAAATAGCAAAAGTAAAGGGGTAAGGTATAGTTCAAATGGTAGAGCACACGGTTAACATGCACAAGGTCCAGGATTCAATCCCCAGTACCACCTCTAAAAATAAATAAATAAACCAAATACCACCCCCCCAAAAAAACTAAGAAAAAAATAATGAAAGTAGAAAAAGGATATAATAAATGATATATATTATAAAGGACATTGTAATTCTCTTGTTGTAATCTGTGTTTTGCATTTAAATTTTGCATTAATCTAGTGAGAGACCAAGACTAGGGGGAGGGAGCAGACTTTTGAATATTTTCTTTTCTTTGTAACTGCAGGTAGCAGCTCTGTTTTTTCTCTAGGACCTAGATTTTTTTCAGTAGATTTGTGCTGTTTCTGGCTGCTTTTTCTTTGTCTTATTTTCTTTCTGTTTAAAAACTTTTTCCTCTTGGGGGCAGATTGTTAAAAAAATCATGTGGAGCACAAAGGAGTTTTAGTGCAATGAAATTATTCTGTATGATACTATAGTGGTGGCTACATGTCATTATGCTTTTGTCAAAACTCATAGAATGTACAACATCAAGAGTGGGCCCTAATGTATACTGT